TCTTTCCCTTATCTATAGTATTTGTAGTCCAACTACTGGGAATGGGGTGTATCAGTGGAGAAAGAGTCAGGGGAGACAGAAATATTTTACCTTCATGTGTGACTTTGCATCTTCATTTTCTTCCCATCACAAATTCAATTGGCTTCACTTCCTTCTTGAGGGTAAGCCTAGGGCTCATTTGTTGAAATTCTTGAAGTGTGATACTACTACAGATACTTGATAATATTTATTGAGCCCTATGTTCACTTAGATGCATTATCTAGTTAATACTGCAAAGTCTATATTAATATGTTACACTGGAGCCTTAGAAACATTTAAGTAACCTGCCCAAAGAAGGACAAGGACTTGAAGCCTTCTCTCTCTCGGACTGCAAGGACCACATACCACACCACCTCCCACTTTTCAGAGAAGGGTGCTTAGTAGCCCTTGATAGATTGTGATGCCAGAAGGGGCTAGATTGGAGTTGAATGCCACGTTACTGCTTATGTAAGTCTTTTTTCCCAGTACGATCTGAAGAACTGGAGGACCATTACACAAATAAGAAATATTCAGATTAGCAATCAAGTTGACCAAAATTTAAAGAAAAATAACGTAAAAAAAAAAAAGTCATCATCAAGTTATTGGCTAAAGCCAATCACCAATTTTGTCAGTCTGAATGGATGGGAAATATTTTAGGGGTAGACTAACAGAATATTTGCTTAAACCAGTTTCTTTGTTTTTACAAGAGAGAAAGCTTTTTATTTTCTAGTTGTTACTTGCCCTGTTTCTGATGGCTTAGAAATCATACTCATCCTTAACCATTACTGGAAAATGATCTTCTAAGCATCAAAAGTACGTCTTTGGAAAAAGTGAAATTGTGATGTGCAAAAAATTTTTTTTCTTAAGACAGTTTAAGGACATCGAGGTGCTTTAAAAAATTATTAATGTCATCGTAAGCTCTCTTTCTGGAAAATAAATTCTAGAGAACCAAGATACATTTCATAGCTCTAAGTATAGAATTATTACTCCACTTTCAACTTTGTTTTTACTGTCTAAATGATCTGCTTTTTTCAGTGGACTCATGTTTTTGCACCTTATTGTCCTAAAGAGGATGTAACAAGTATTACAAATGTTAGATGAGGGCTAGGATTAACACAATGTTTTAGTTAAGTTCTATGGAGTAGGAAAAAAAAGTCTTGAACTACATTTTGTTGATACCTTCATAAAAGCATGAAATCATTTAGCTTCCCTAGGTTTTACAGAAAACACTTTAAAAATGCTATAAAGATGTATAACAAGACATAAAACTGCAAATATTAACTGTCTATTTCCTTGAAATATAATTTAAACTTGGTGAGTAGGACAAGAAAATGTCACATCCCTTTCTCTTGCTAAGGAAATTGTATATTTCCTTTGCAAAAATAAAGAATATGCAGTCTTCATAAGCATATATGTGACAGTTTTAAAGTTGTTTTGTTTCAGGCTAAAGGTTTCTATGAATTTTCACAATTGTCTCAAAGTTGGAAAAAGAAAAGAAACAAAGAGAAAGCAAAACATTAACCTTAGGCATACAAGTTTTGTTTTTCACCAAATGTTAAAAACAGCATTTATGTTATGTGCATACTTTGTCCTTTCTAAATATTATCTTGAGTTACACAATTTTCAAATTCTTCATAGAATGAATACACTTTCAAATTTTTGCTTATGTTTCCCTCCGTAAGCTGCAATATTCTAAATAGAAAGTTAATCTGTCTTTACCAGGATTTGTGAAGCAAATGGATATACATCTTACCAAGTGGAAAATAGGGCTGTGACATGGGCATTTAACTACTGATGAGAGCCCAGTATTTGATTTGTGGACCACAGGCTACCATAAGATTTGGCTGACAACACTAATTTCACTTGGGAATCGAGAAATTCTGGAAAAAGAGAGTCTCTTAAAACATAGGTCAAGGGACTTCGGTGGCGCAGTGGTTAAGAATCCACCTGCCAATGCAGGGGACATGGGTTCGAGCCCTGGTCTAGGAAGATCCCACACGCCGCAGAGCAACAAAGCCTGTGTGCCACAACTATTGAACCTGTGCTCTAGAGCCCACGAGCCACAACTACTGAAGCCGGCGCGGCTAGAGCCCATGCTCCACCACAAGAGAAGTCACTGCAATGAGAAGCTCACGCACCGCAACGAAGAGTAGCCCCCGCTCGCTGCAACTAGAGAAAGCCTGCGGGCAGCAACAAAGACCCAACGTAGCCAAAAATAAGTGAATAAATAAATAAAAATTAAAAAAAAACCAAAAACGTAGGTCAATCAAATTTCCAGAATTTCACTAAAATGAGATGAAGGAAAAGTTTAATAGTCATATCAAACATGGTCATAAGGGCTTTATGCCTATTTCCTCATTTAAGCCTCACATTAACCTTATTAGGTAGGAATTGCTACTGTCTCCCTTTTACAAATGAGGAAACTGAGGCCAGAGAATTCAAAGACTTTGCCAAAATTCACACGGTCTCTAAGTGGCAGACCCATGTTCTTAGCCACTCAGTAGGTTTTAAATTGTTATTGTTTATGTCTCACTGGAGAAGAAAATGTGGACAACATGGGAGAGGTCACAAGGAAGTCTGTAAGGGTTGGGCTCCTTATGATTTCAGAACTCAATTCAGAGTGCATGGATTTAAAGTCCTCTGGGAAGACAAGCTGATGAGTCACAGGATTTCAAAGGGCCAGTCCAAAAGCTCTGAGGGAGACAAGAAAGTCCCTAGCTCAGCTCTTTGGCTCCTGGTAGATGGGCCCAGATAGTGGCTTTGGTAGCCACCACAATGGCTTTCCTGGTCTCTGTAGAAGCTCCAGACTGAAGAGAAACTCAGCAGTGTTGAGGAGCACAGAATATCAGATCCACCTGTGGGATACAGCTAGATGCTTTGTCCAGCTGCAAGTATGTTGCAGGAGTAAATGTACACAGGCACATAGATATGTCTACGTAGAGATGTGGGTTCTTTTTTACTTACATTTTTCCCCTTCATTATTAGCAGTACAATAAAGAGCTTAGCAAGTCTAACTCCTAATTTTGCTTAACAGTAAAAAAAGCTTGCTTCTGAATTCACAAGATTCCAATAGGGTCCCTCTGTAGGAATAACTTTTGTTAATGAAAGAAATAATGTATATTAGCCTGCCATAACAAGAATAAACCAGAGTGCATTTTATCAGAATTAATGTTAAACACAGCATGTTTTGTACTCCAAATATATTTATGAGAAACATATAGCTGTGTCTCATACATATCAAAATAAAATGGAAACTTTTCTAAGAGTTTCTGGCTATTTAATGCGCTAGTTTAAAAATTAAACTAATTTGATCATTTGCCCCATAATATTCCTATATTTCAAAAGTATATGTAATATTTTTATGAGCACATAAACTTATTACCAACATTACTGACTAGAAAAACTTTGTGATTTTAATCCTCTCCAAATGATCAAAAGTAGTATATTCTATAGAACTCACCTTTTGCCCATTCATCCCTGGAATTCCAGGTGCTCCAACAGAACCCTAAGGAGACACATGATTGAAATAAATTGATATCATAATCACAAAATATTTCAATTCTAAATTTATATTGTATTAGTGATGCTAAAAACATGTCTGGGAGGCTGTTTTTCAGATCTTATCTACCGTGTTCAAATATACAATAATATAAACAGATTCGTCAAGCTTTTCCAAAAACCATTAAGTTAAATTTAACCACGTTTGTAAATATCTACTTAATGCTAATATGATTTTAAAGAAATTCACATCATAAATTGAGATTTAGAGCTATCAGAAGGCCACATAGCTCTAAATTTGGGTGCTTTTAATAAACATGGCATGGACATATATACACTACCAAATGTAAAATAGATAGCTAGTGAGAAGCAGCCACATGGCACAGGGAGATCAGCTCGGTGCTTTGTGTCCACCTAGAGGGGTGGGGTAGGGAGGGTGGGAGGGAGATGCAAGAGGGAGGAGATATGGGGATATATGTATATGTATAGCTGATTCACTTTGTTATAAAGCAGAAACTAACACACCATTGTAAAGCAATTATACTTCAATAAAGATGTTATAAATAAATAAATAAATAAATATGTAAACACACACATGCACGCACGCACACACACACACACACACACACACACACACACACACACAAAAGAATTAAACTTGCCAGGGCTTCCCTGGTGGCGCAGTGGATAAGACTCTGCGCTCCCAGTGCAGGGAGACCGGCTTTGATCGCAGGTCAGGGAACTAGATCCCATATGCATGCTGTAACTACGAGTTTGCATACTGCAACTAAGGAGCCTGCCTGCTGCAAACAAGGAGCCCTGGAGCCACACCTAAGGAGCCCACTTGCTGCAGCTAAGACCCACTGCAACCAAATAAATAAACAAATATTAAAAAAAAAGAATTAAATATGCTTAGTTTCATCTGGAAAAAGCCTAGCAGTAGCAGTAACTCCTGAATTTCATGAAATTAAATAACATAAAATGAAAGGTAATTAAAATAACACCCACTTGCTCCACAGTGAGACAAATAAGGGACCCATGTTGTAAACTCAAATTTGTTGTATTTGAAAGCATTTCCCTGAGACTCTCAGGGAGTGTGTTTAAACCACATGAGTGTGAATACATCTTCCAAGTAGACTAGAAAGGATGTTGCAAATGGTAAACACCAGCTAGGAACAACACAACTTTTACACATAAAATATTATCTTAAGTGTGTGTGTGTGTGTGTGTGTGTGTGCACACACACTTGGAAGTGTGCACACATGCACTGGGGTGATTACAATGATTGGACATAGGTGGTTGAACTGAGAATAAGAAAGCTAATTACTACCTGAGAAAATCTGACATTTAACTGGATACAGAAACATTAACAAATGTTTTCAAATAGTGATTTCCCTTCACACACCTTCCTTTGAGGCTCTGTAGAAACCATTTTTAAATAGGATGTGCTTATTTTTTGTTTAGCACTAGAAAACAGATTTTTCTTAGTAGCTGTATAATATTAAATTTCTTTAAGAATAATGGAAAAAAATTAAAATAGTAATTATAAATCTAAAACTGCTCTAGAAATTAAGTTTATTAAAAATAGAGTCATTACATGCAAAATAAATTGAGATAGCAAGTTCCTTAGTGCTTTCTTGGTGATTATATCGAGTGGCTCATTAAAGGACTTCCCGAAGCCTGAGGCAGTAATTTCATCCTGGTCGCATGTGGATTAGGGTAGCTTTACAATTTCACACCATACTTAATAGAGACATTATTGCTAAGGACAAATTGTTCCTATACACAAGTTGTCTCACAACAGCATTGGCTTTTACTTGGTTTGTGGGATTATGTTTCAACAGATGCCACATGCCCAAGCTTGGGGGATAAAACATCTCTAACTTTGATGGATTCCAAAGATAAAAAATAATCACTTTTCCACCTGTTGTAATACAATTATTTTCTTTAGTTTTCTGCAGGTTAAATATCCTTTTTTGTCATCTTTATGGGGTGGGAGGTGTGATGGGGAATGGGGACTTAGTGATATTTTATTGGCAAAGGGCCATCTACCTGCTACTGATGTATTGATGTAATTTTAGAAGTGCTAGACTTTCTCCATCAGAATGTAAAGGGTCAATTCTGACGGCTCTGGATAACATTGAAATGACAGTCAGGAAGCCGGTTTTTGGTCTACCTCAGCAAAGGAAGACACTAGTGGACCACTTAAATATAGCCACCAAGCAACAAGAATATCCTTTGTTCCAGTCTAACAGTCATTTAACAATCACATATTTGTGCAAGACCATGCAATTAATTTGCAATGTCTTATGACCCTTCACATTCTAAGTTTTCTCATGATGTTTTACAATGATTTGAATTAAAACCTCAATAACCTACAAGTTTGGCAAACAGTTTAAAAAGAGTCTGCTCTGGATTTATTGACTTTTCTATAATGGAGTCGATTAGAAATCTAATGGCTAACATTACATGACTGTATTTTTAGAAAGCAGAATGCACAAACCAGGCTGCTTTGGCATGACTTACAGTAGCTAATTCCATTCACTTCTCTGACTAGCCATTAGGCGATGGGAGTATAATTACCTTCACAGTATTATTTATACTCTACCTTTTGTCCTGGAGGCCCCAGAGGACCCTAAGAAAAGAAAAACAATTCAATAAACATAATATTGCAACCATTTAAACTTAAATGACTGATTAAAACTGTCCTATTCTGTAAGGTTCTATTGATATTTGTCATGCTGAAATATGCTGATGTTTTGTACATCAAGGAAAATGAAAATTTTCGGTTGGAAGTGCACAATGGGTCTTTTCTTCTCTCCTGTTCTCTTTTGAAGAACATTAAGCATATGAAGTAGGATTCTGATTTTTTCCTTTAGAAAAAGGATCACAACATTGTAAATCAACTATATTTCAACTAAAACGAAACAGAAAGAATCTTTTGCCATTCCAGCGCATCTGTTTCTTCCGATACCTGCAAATCTATCACACCAGTCTCATACAGAAGGCTGGAGATGTTGCTGCTAGAAGCACTTAAAATACAATGCAGTTCTCAGCACACGGACACGTTCTATGACTTGTGCATCTGCGAAACTTCAGGAAGCAGATTTGCAAAGGAAATCATTGAATGGCATTACAAAGAAACATGTTTTGCTCTATTCTTCCTCTTATGAAATGTGGCCAACTGACCTGCCCAAAAACTTGTTTACAAACTAGGCGATGCCAAGGTCAGTTGTGGCATATAGTGTGCACCAGACAAGGGAACAAAAGATGCTGTCAGCTGTTGCATAAATTGTGACACTGGGGCAGGGGAGGAGAGGAAAAGAAATATAATATTTAGGAAGACGAATGGGAATATTTACATTTAAAATGGAAATGTGGCAGTTCTGAGACTTAGCAATTTTTTGACCACAAAGTCAGTGTTGGAATTCTGTTGGCTTTATTTAGAGCGAGGCATGCTTTGGGATGGTAGAAAAGAGCACAAAGAGAGCTGTAATTCTGACTTTTGATGCCTATTTTTAAATAAAAATATTAAGCACTTTTCTTCCAATTCTTTCAAAAATACTTTTAATTTCAGTATATCTTAACAAAGTTATAGGTACTCTATCATTCCATGTAAAAAGCTCTTTATTCCATTACATTAAACTAACGGCTAGCTTATTTTTAATGTGTGCCATTTCAGTTAATCAGCATCTTACATTCAGACTATAACATAAAAAAAGGACTAGAGTGGTAATCAGAGGAAGAATTGGTCATGCATAATTTTTTAATTAAAAATACACAACGTTTAGGAACATTCAGAGAATCTGTTCCTCATAAATTATTTTGTAATCCTCACAGGAAGACTAACAATTTCCTCATATAATCAGCTTTAGGATACTGAAAGTGCACTGTGCAATATCACCTTTATAGACTCCTTTTTAAAAACGCAGGATGTAGTTTTATTGACTCGGTGACACCGAAGGCAAGGACATCGAATGTTAGACATATGAAAAAATTCATACTGGCCTACAAGCCTAGGAACTGCAAGAAAGTGAATTCTTTTCTTTTTTCCTTTTTATTACAAAAAACTTAAAACATAATAAAGGGCAGGGAGAGTAATATAATGTACACCCATGTATCCATCACTTATATGTAACAATTGTTAACATTTTGCCATATATATTCCTTTTCAATTTACTCAACCTTCTTAATGAGCTTGTTATCTCATCTATCTGTGTGGTCTGTCCTTCTTTCTGCTTATCTCACTCCTTCAATTTAAAATTCTCCCCGTCTTAGATTTTGCAGAGAACACAGAGGCTGTCAGGCATAAATTCCCCCAACATCATGTCTCTCATCAACTCAAACCCATGTGGCCCTCCTTACTATATCAGAGGAGGAAGATGCTTTCCTCCCACTGGGCAAATGCATCCAGTAGACTCTGGAATCCATCCTTGCCTTCGCCCTCAGGGCTCTTTCTCAATCAATTATCCCTGCATCTGTATCAGAGCCTCCCACTCTGCACCGGTTCCTTCCCCTTAGCACATAAACATGTGTAATCATTTCCTTACTTGGGTAAATTGTTTGGGAAGTGAATGTTAATGCTAAGTAAAGGCAGAATTTGGAAGCTGTAGTGATAGGAGATCTGAGAGTGAAGAAAAGACTTGGGTTTTATCATTGCCTATGATTCCATTTTTCCTAGTGTCTCCAGAGTATTCCACTTTTTAAAATGTTGATGTTAGAGAGGAAATCATATAACAAAAAGTACATTAATTCAATGTTTAGACTGAGAATGTATATGTTCAATGCAAACAGGTTTGTTTCCCACTATAAACCTAACTGCCACTTGAAAAAATATTGTTCACTAAAATTGGGCATTTCATTACATGAAATAACCCTGGAAGGGAATATTTCAGATTAAAATAAGAGCAAATTTTAAACCAAATATTTTAACTAGAGATGAACATATCTGGTATTTTCTAATCTGGTCTTCGCTGCATGATCACAGTAAGTCAGAGATTTAGAAAGATTACTCACAACTCTGAAATCTATGAAATTATATTAGTTGTAATATTTTAACACAATAGTTAACAAAAGTCAAAGGATGGCTATAAAAAATAAATATATTATTTTTCTCACTGTTAGAAAACTACTGCTATTTTTGCTAAACTCCAAAAATAAAAGCAGTTTTTAAGACAATATTAATTTTGAATTGTGAATACATATCTTATAAATTTTCATAACTATGTTGCCAAGGATATATCCTCAGCTACCAAAAATGTGCATATACTCCTTTGATCTCGCTGGCAGGAAAAATGGTAACAATCCAAAGATAGTGTCATTGTTTTAGAGAGGAACTGGGAAAAAGCAATATTGAATATAAGGCACAGACATACATTCGAGTAAGTACACACACACACAAATAGCTATTTTGATCAACATTTTGCTCATGTATATATTTTTTGAGCATTCTCTGATTAATAATCCCATTATATATCTATGACACTGTGGTCATAAATTTAAGCTTACAAATGAAAGCTTCACTGATCAAAAATTGAATTTGAAGTTAGGGTATGCTACTACCAGTTGGTTAAGATGTCTACATTTGAGTAGTTTTGTAATTTCTAGTACAAATACAAATCTATAAAGTAATGGGTAAATGTCATAGAACCACTGACTGACTTATCTAATCTTTCTTAAACTTACTTATATTCTCAGCCTGAATAATGACTTGGATGAAGAACGTCATATATTCATTATTCACTTGTCAAGCTAGTGTATCTTATTATTCCTAAAATTAAAACTAGTTGTTCTAGTATTCTGATATTTCTAAAATAATTCCATTATTGTTATCCCCATGTCTTAAAAAGTTTGAATCAAATAGCCTTCCAAACCAAAGAGTCAATCTTTTCAGTCCATTTTTATCAATCAATGAATTGTTCCTTTCTTAGGTATTTTCTTGGCAGGCACTTTTATATTTGCATATACTTTGCAGACGACCAATTAAGATGAGAATAATCTGGTCTCTTTTATTTTCTGTAATCATTTCTTTGTATATGTCTCAAGATTGGAAACTGTGTAATATACAGAATCTTAACATGTTAAACTATATTTCTTTAAGTTTAACTCCAGAAGCGTTAAACTATAATTTAAACCTTAAAATGTACTGATTTCAGTATAGGCTCTGGGTGATGTAGAATGTATTAACTTTTTTCATTAAAGGATTTTGCACAATAGACATAACCTTATTCAAAATATAAGAACCAAATGAGCCACCAAAAAATTCTAAGTGTGGAGTAACGACATCACTTATCTGCAGATAAATGTTTACACCTCATTTTCATGGTCTTTCAGAAAAGAGTATGGAGAGCTATGAAAACTTAAAAGTTCTAAACAGGTAGGAAATTATACAGTGCACTGATTTTCTTTCCTGTTTTCCCCAGCCCCGCTAGATTCCATTTTTAAAGATTATGGAAAATATTATGTAGAATATGGCAGTCAAGTAAGTTAAAGAAATACTGTAGTTCCCATTTGGTGACTGCCTTTACTAAAGGCGCGTTACTCGGGCCTGAGAGTGATCGTTTATTCCTCCGCCTCCGGGTCCACCAGATACTCTACTTACTCGGGAACATTCTCCAGTCTGTCCTCTATCTTCAGCTGCATTACCATGCTCTTGTTCAACCCACTTCTCTCTCACCTAAGCTACCGTGACACGCATCTGAAAGCCACTGTGTTTTCAGTCTTCTTCAACCCTTTCTACACAGTGCTGCCCGAGGGAGCTTTCTAAAAGGCTTACAGGTTTCTACCTTGCCTCAGCTGAAAAATCCTTCCATGGCTTTCCATGGATTTTGAGAGAAAAGTTCAAACTTCTGTAACAGTTGTAGTTTGCCACATAAGCCATGCTTCCTCATCTCTACACCTCTGCACCTCTGGTTGTCTGGTCCCTTAATGGGCTGCTTCTCTCTGGTCCTGTCTCTTCCACTCATTCCATAATTCAGGGCTCAGTGCCTCCACCCTTGGGGCTAGGTCGCCTTCTTTTGTTTTCCAAAGCACCCCTATGACAGCACTTCTTTCCCAGAATTTACCAACAGTGTTGTGATTGTCAGGTTACTTCTTTCTTCACTCTACATGTCTTTTATCATACACAGAAGCTGGCACAGTAATTGCTCAGTGAATCCTTTGGGGTTCATTCATGAATTCACCCACTTAGCAGTTTTTTGAATGCCCATTGAGTGCGAGGCAATGTTCTAGGCACTGAGGATACAGTAGTGAACAAAATTTTAAAAAGTGCATGGCCTCCAGGAATGAGTAGTCTAGTGAATGGAGAAAGACAGTAAAAACATAAACAAGTAAAATATAAAGCTGTGTCAGGGGATAAGTGTTAAAGCAAATAGGGGGTAGTGATTGGGAGGAGTGGATGTGCAGGCATTTTAACTTGGGGGTCAGTGAAGGCCTAGGATAAAGTGACTCTTGGATAGAGCCCTGAAAGAGGTCAGGCAAGACAGTCATGCATGTAGAAGGAGGAAGAATGTTCCAGGCAAGGGAATAGCAAGTACAAGGCCAGGAGGTGGGCATATGCTCAGTGCGTTCAAAGAACACGGAGGAGGCAATAGGTAGGTAGTAGAAGATGGGGCTCTGGAGAGGAGGGAGATCACA